TTAACATGTCTGATTTAGAAAAATGTTCTGCCAATTAGAAGCTAACAAATTAGGGTTTTTTATTCACAACCGTGAGATCATCATTAGTATCATTTTCCATATTTCTTATAAAACTAAGATAATTTGGTTACTTGATTTTTTAAATATAATATGAATCCATATCTAACTGAAGAATTAGTTGCTTGTACAATAAAAACAAAGAATAGGCCTAATGCATTAAATTACAAAACTAGACTCATCAAAGAGCTTTTGAAGATAAATTTAATGCTTTCAAGAATACAGGATTCTTACCAATTTATACAGATGATGGATTTTGTACCCTTAATTAAAAGGAATCTTGGTTATACAGCAATAAGGCAGTTTATGTTTGTTTTGAACTTTATGAAATTTTTTTTTCAATTAAAATAATATCATAAAACGAACCTAGATGTTAAATATATGTTAGATTTTATTGCTACTTAACTAATTATTAACACATTTGACAACAACGACTATTAAAGTGGTTTAGTTTTTTAATAAGAAATTATGGTATATACTAAAATATAATATGGTAAAAAAAAAAACTGTTATAATTATACTTTTTTTTTTTTGTTATTAATATTACATTTTAGTATATTATACTTATTATTACATTTCAATAAATTTTATTATTTTTCTTAGGTCTACTAAAGATGGAAACTGTCTTTATAGCATCTTTTATTTGCCTGATAGCATTATCTAATGTTTTAAAGCAACCTATTAAATCTATCTATTCTGAAAAAGTATCAGTTTTTTTATTACCTTTAGAAAGCCTCGTATCCAAAAATTAAATTGTCCGATAAATATTCTGTGGTGCAATTTAGATAAAACAAAACACAAGTATTTTATATTTTGGCCAAATCATTTTGTGGTACTGGTTAAAGGTCTTCCCAAAAAATGACCAGCTGTTGTTATGAGTGATACAAGTTTACTTAGTATCAAAAAAATAAAAGTTTTTAAGTCTAGTTTTCCGTCTATAGATACAAAAACCAAATCAGTCAAAATTATTCTTTCCTACTGTTTTTAAGAACACTTCAGTTATAGATAAGTCTTGTATTTGTAATAA